GAAAGTCTGTTCCAATAATTCCATCCATTCGACATCAAAAATCCTTTAAAACTAAAAATTCGTGATTTATTTCGTAATCAAATGCAGAGTTTAAAGAAAGATTAACTGACCCAATTGATTTTGTAGAGCCAGCTATTCCGTTAATAACTACTTGTTTATTTGTATTAATGTGTTCATTTGACTGTAAAACTTTTGAAAAAATATCTTACCGAAGCCCCCGTGTCTATAAGAAAAAATAAATCATTTGCCCTATATCGCATACGCGCATAGTTCATACCATTCATGTTTAAAATTACCTCGTCATTTTTCGTTTTATTCATGAAAAAACCTTTCATCGGATGGTGAATTATTTTCTTCCGATGTCATGTTTTCCGCATAATAAGCACTTTGATTTTGTTGCGAATGTCCGCGATTAGTGCCCCGACCTCGATAAGGCCGACGCTGCGCTTGCATTTGTCCACGGTTGGACTGAAGAAACGAATAATTATTGTTTCGATAATTAAAATTACCTGAATGTGCAAAATTTTGATTTTGAAATGGTTTATAATTTTGAAAACCTCTGTTTCCCCTGTTGGCATTGCCAGCAAAACCTCTCTTACAATTTCTATTAAAACCCCTGTTTCCTCTATTATAACATCCCCGCTTATCATAATGAAACACATTAGATGAAGATGGTTTATTTCGTTCTTCATCTTTCGCGGCGCTTATTGCATCTCTCAATGTTGAGCAATTTCTGGCTTTAACTATCATTCTAATGTCATGGTTTTTAATTCCAATGCAAAAAGAATTAACAGCAATTTTTTCATTGACCACTCTCAAAGATTGCAATAATGTTGCATCATTTCCTGCCTGAGCCCAAGTAGGGTTACTCAGGAGTTGTTCAATTTCTTGACCAAAATGATGAAGTTGGTTAGATAAAACTACCGCAGACTTTTGTGTAACAAAATTTGCTCTTAGATCGCTAGTTAGGTCTCCTACCGATGTATAAGTACTATTTAACCGAATTTTTGCATTCTCAGAGAGTCGAGTTTTTAATATGAAATTTATTAACCGTGGTTGGTCTTCAACTTTTACCATATCTGAATATAACTTAATACAATCAATCAACTTTTTCGTGGTATCCTCATTTCCGTCCATCGACGGTAGTAAACTACCAGCTACTTTTAAATCAAAAGCTTCACCTGTTAA